GTCTTCCCAACTCTTTCACTCCATAACCCTGAGACTTTCTCTCTCTGTGTCTAGAGTTGACCAAAAAGTGCGGCATCATCTTTGGTTGTCCTGTGTACCCCTAGAGCCACAGGCAGGTAAAAAATAAACTGGTCTCTGCTCTTCTTTTCTGACCCAGATTCTCTAGTCAAGTCAGATTTCTCCCAGTTCAAGTGGAGAATTACTCTGTATCAGCTGATTCCCTGAAAGTCAGCTGACTAAATGGTGTTCTATCCTCATTTTAAAGCAGCCTAGAAAAATTTGAGTTTACAGAGAATCCCTGAGTCATTGCTTAGAAAAACCTCTACATGTCAGTCTATTTGATTTTGTTGTTGTTGTTGTTGTTGTTTGTTTTTCTGAGATGGAGTCTCCCTCTGTCACCCAGGCTGGAGTGCAGAGGTACGATCTTGGCTCACTGCAACCTGTGCTTCCCGTGTTCAAGCGATTCTCCTGCCTCAGCCTTCTAAGTAGCTGGGATTACAGGTGCCTGCCACCATGCCTGGCTAATTTTTGTATTTTTAGTAGAGATGGGGTTTCACCATGTTGGCCATGGTTGGCCAGGCTGGTCTTGAACTCCTGACCTCAGGTGATCCACCTGCCTTGGCCTCCCAAAGTGCTGGGATTACAGGCATGAGCCACTGTGCCTAGCCATTCTATTTGATTTCATGAAGGCTTTCAGCTTTTAGATCAGAGGAGCTGCCTCTCCATTCTGAAAAAAAAAAGGTGAATGTGGCTTTGGACCAGGAGACAGGCTGACTTGTCTCTGGTTCGAGTTGCATCACTTAGGGACGGTGGATGTTTGGCATGTAATTTCTGCTCTCTGAGCTTTGGTCATCTCCTCTGTAAAGAGAGGACTGTAACAACAGCGCAACACTCCCTACCCACCCTCCACACACCCCACCCTCCACCTCAGGGTTGTTCTGAGAATTAAATGAGATCATCTATGTGACAATATTCTACACTACGCAAATGTAAATTCCCTTTATCAGATTTCAGCTTTGATGAGTCATTTCAGACATTAGTTCCTGACATATGTCCTTCACTTAACCCCACTACTATTTTTTTTTCCTTTTCTTATTTCCTGTAGAAATTATGAAATTGGTCCTCCGCATACCTCTTGATGAAGTCTACCCCTATACCTCATCTAAAATCTTTCTGGCTCCATTTCCCATTTCCACTTAGACCTGCCGGGTCTTACTCCCTCATTGTGTCAGTAATTATTCAGAAAGTCTTCTCCCAGCCCACAGTATCACCATGCACAGCTGCATATCTGACAGTGACATACTTAATGTTCGATCTAGTTGTAGTCATGTATAGAAACCCAAATAATGATGGAATAAGAGTTAAGTCATGTGTTCCAGAATTAGTATTATCATTGATTATCCAGTGGGCTTCAGGCCATTCAGTTAAACAAACATCTATTCAGGTCAGGAGGTGGAGCGGATGTTCCCTGCTGTGCAGAAACTCAAAATTTTGTAAGTTACACAGATTTGTAAACCTCCAATTATGAATAATGGAATGGCACACACACACACAAAAATAATACTGGCACATTGGGGAAGGAACAATTTGATGTGCCTTTGAAGGCTGTAGAAAGCACCACTTCAGACAGGAGGTGACATCTAAGCCTGGTCTTGAAGGATGAATAACTAAGATTTTTAAAGTCCAAGAAGGAGACCAGGTTGAAGCAGGAACATTAACAGATGAACAGAATAGCTAGATGAAGGAATGGCAAGAGTTCGGTATGACCGGAGCATAGAATGCACAGTGAGGAGAATAGGAGATGAGGCTGGAAGGAGCACTGGGCTGAAGTCACGTAGATCTAATGTGCCAGACTCATATATCTGGGCTTTGTACTATCCGGCTCTTCTCAACCAGGATTCCACCAGAAAAATTAAGCCCCGATGACTTAAGACATCTATTGTACAAATAAATTTCTCTCCCCTGTACACCTAGAATGATATTAACTATGTACCATCCTAGAAAGACCTGAAATAGTCACTCAAATAATTTTCTGGAGGGCTTGGTTCTCACATAGAAGCCCAGGAGAGAAAGGCTGCTAGGCATTGGCAAGCCATCCAACATTTATAGAAAGCAAGTGACATCTTCACATGTCATAGAAACATCACTTGGGTGGCAATGAGAAGAGTGCATTAGAAATAGTACAGGCAGAGGATAAGTGGTTAACTAAACTGCTGTTGCAATAATTCAGGTGGGTGACAACCAAGGCTCAGGGTGGTGACAGTAGAAACGGAGGTAAAGGACACCTTAGAGACATTTGGGAGGCAGAATAGATGGTGTTCTTTAGTGCTGTCTTCCCCAGCTCTCTGGCTATTATATGGAGTCACCAGCTCGGAACCTTCCTAAAGAGGGCAATAAGTGGCTGGGCACAGTGACACACGCCTGTAATCCCAGCACTTTGGGAGACCAAGCCAGGCATATCACTTGAGGTCAAGAGTTCGAGACCAGCCTGGCCAACATGGTGAAATCCTGTCTGTACCAAAAATACAAAAATTGGCCGGGTGTGGTGGCATACATCTACAGTCCTAACTACTTGGGAGGCTGAGGCAGGAGAATCACTTGAACCCAGGAGGTGGAGGTTGCGGTGAGCCAAGATCATGCCACTGCACTCCAGTCTGGGTGACAGAGCTAGACTCCATCTCAAAAAAAAAAAAAAAAAAAAAAAATGAGGGCAAGAAGTGCACCAGCCACAACTCAGCATGGGGGTGGAGTGTGCTGCTACCACTCTGGACTTTATCACATCTAGGGTGAACTCTGCACAACCTGATAGCCTCAAGTTGTGACTTTTCTTCACACCAACTTCACCTTCCTGGGCATGTTGGCCCAGTCTTCACAACTGACCTTCAGCCTCATTCTCCTCCCTAGCCACATATTTCAAAAGTGCTACCCTGAACTCTACACTGCTTGGCTGGGTTCCTGACGCTTTGCTTCCCTAACCCAGCTCATTCTTCCAAGGGGCTGGATCCACTCCTTGTGCTCCACCCCAGCCCTAGGAGTCCTGCAGCTGAGGCAGCATTGCCAGCTCCAGTCCTGCTCATTCCCAGCTTCCTCCCTATGGGCCATGTGGCTGAGGTCTCATCATGCCTTATATCTAAACTCACCCGAATTTAGGCACGTCATCACCAAGCCTCATCTGGGGCCTGTTTTCTCATTTGTAATGTGAGGGGATTGCACTAGGTGACTTCTAAAGGATCTCTCTTCCAACACTAACATCCTGTGTTTCTAAGTAGGCCAACTATAAAAGAAGTCTGCATTGGCACAGAACAGTTGAGGCTGGGAGCAAGTGAGTCAGACTCAGCAGAAATGTCAAGCTCACTGTCAAGCCAGGAGACCAGAGTGCAGCATGCCACTGGGCAGACAGGAGCCAGGGCCTCAAGCCAGAGATTAGCCTACCCAGACAGCTGTGCGGACAAGATGACGGATGCCACGCCTGGCTTATTAGTCACATTGGTGTTCAAGGAATAAACCACTTCATTTTGTATCCTCCAAAGGACAACATTCATTTATGACCTAAAGCTATTTAGCATGGAGTTTGTAATTCTACCCTTCTCAGAGTTACTGCTGGTGATTTAGGACTCAATATTATCCCATTATTATTTTGTCCATTTGCTTGAAATTACCATCCAATGGGCATTCCCTGAGCATCTAGTTTTACTCTCAAGACTTCCTAAGTCCCTCTCAGATACCTCTCAGGGTGTGTGAAAGAAAAGAGCACAGGCCTTTGGAGACCTACATTTGGACCCCACAGCTACTTACTAGTCATATGGTTCTGGAAAAGTTAATCTCTGAAGTGTGTGTGTGTGTGTGTGTGTGTGTGTGTGACAAAGCAAGACTCTGTCACCCAGGCTGGAGTGCAGTGGTGTGATCTCAGCTCACTGCATCCTTCGCCTTCCTGGTTCAAGCGATTCTCCTGCCTCAGCCTCCCAAGTAGCTGGACTACAAACGCATGCCACCATGCCCAGCTAATTTTTGTATTCTTAGTAGAGACAGGGTTTCACCATGTTGGCCAGGCTGGTCTTGAACTCCTGACCTCAGGTGATCCACCCGCCTTGGCCTCCCAAAGTGCTGGGATTACAGGCATCAGCCACCGCACCCAGCTAATCTCTGAATTGTGGATTCCCCATGTGTGAAATGGGATAATAACACCTGCCTTGCATATTTGTAGCCCAGGTTAAAGTGTCCACTATATGGAAGGTTCTCAGTAAAGAAGTTCTCCTTCACAGAAACCCTGCTGTTTTGCATGTCTTGAAATCTCTGTCTTCAGGATTGTTTCTCTGAGGTTTGCCTGGCCCTTTCCTTTCTTTCCTCCTTAAGCCTGCAAGGTCTCTGCAGGTCCACACAAGTTTCTGCTCCAATTCCAGACCTGCAGCATGCTAAGTCAGCACTAGCACTTCCTAGAGTAGGGGCTTTTCTCCACCCCATCATGGCTGAGCAATCACAAGCCAAGAAAATCTTGATCAGAAGATGAGATCATAGCTAAAGGCTCTGAGAGCTCCATTGTCTCAGCTTCAGATGCTATTATATAGAAGATTAAAACCCCAGTACTGTGACTCAGTGAGGGCCCAGTTAGGAGATTACAAGAGACAGTGCTGAAGCATTAAAGGTGATAAAGTAAGCATGCCTTCAAGCTACTGAGTATAGGAATTAGCTGTGGGCACACATCTTTGGCAGGCTAGGAACTAACCTTCCTGGTTCCTTCCTTCAAAGGGGTGGTAGTGTCAGGGGACTAGTATAGACATGGGTTGTAGGGCCTTAGAGATCTTTTATGTTTACCCTCTTTTACACAAATGGAGAAACTGAGGCCCACAAGCGGGAATTAACTTGCTCAGATTTGTATAAAGAGAAAAAGCCATATCTGCATTCAAATGCAGGACTCAACCTTATGTTCCAACTGTTTCTATTATCCTATGATAAAATAGTCATTGTTAAAATTTAATGCATTGTGGACACTCACTAAACTTGACTGTTAAATAAGAAGTGTAGGGAACATTGTTAACAGGATTTCTAGCAGGAGAGCATTCACTTTTTCATCGAATATTTATTGAGTCCTAGAAGGTAAGTAATGGCTAAATTGTTAAGGGTATCAGAGGCTATGCTTAGGCGTGTGGTTTGTAGTTTGTAGGCAACAGTCCATCAAAGATTTCAGAGAAGAGAATTAACATGATCAGTTTTAAAGAAAGCACACTAGCAGCAGAGGAGAGGATTAGAAAGCGTCAAATTAGATGCCCGAGGACTTACAGGGCTTTTAGAGTAGTCCTGGCAAGAGATGACTGATGGAGGTCTAAAGAAGGGCAGTGGCAGTAAGGACAGAGAGCAAGCAGAGTCAAAAGCCATTTCTTCTTTTTATTTTATTATTCTTAATTGACATATAATAATTGTACATGTTTATGAAGTACAGGGTGATATTTTGATACATGTATACAATGTGTAATGATCAGGTCAGGATAGTTAGCATAGCCATCACCTCAGACGTTTCTCATTTCTTCATGTTGGGAACATTCAAAATTCACTTTTCTGGCTATCTGAAAATACACAATCAATTGTTGTTAATTATAGTCATGCTACAGTGCTGTAGAACACTAGAACTTCCTCTTTTTTAGCTGCACTGTTGTATTTGTTAACCAACCTTTGGCTATTCCCCCTCTGCTCTACCCTTCCCCACCTCTAGTAACCATTATTCTACTCTCTGCTTCCATGAAATCAACCTTTTACACTTCTACATATAAGTGAGAACCCACCAAACACCATTTCTTAAATGCAGTTAATGGGACTTGGTGGTCAGTGGAAGGGCCAAGTAGAGCAGGAGGCTGGGCCCCAGGCCAGACCAAGCATAGCTTTTCAAGACTCCAGATTCCTGCCTAGGGCCCCAGGCTAACCAGGCAGGCTTCACTCATGGCAGGGCAGCTATTTCATGGCCACTGGGCAGGCTGCAGCCTGCAAACCCTCACTGAAATCCTGACTGTGCAATAAACCAAGGGCATCTGTTTCCCAGCAAAGATGGTTGGTCACGAGAGGCAGTTAAGGAATCTTATTAAAAGTTGTTTACCTAGAGACTTTCAATTAAGGGCAGAAATTCTTAAAGATTTAACTTGTTAGTTTCTACAGCTACTCTGGCTAAAGTTTTCTGATAAGAAGGTAAGCGGCATCCTCTACTTGCTATGGAGATCATGTATTGTAATACTTAATTACACAAAATTCAGCCACACACGGTGGCTCAAGACGCGGTGGCTCACGCCTGTTAATCCCAACAATTTGGGAGGCTGAGGTGGGTGGATTACTTGAGGCCAGGAGTTTGAGACCAGCCTGGCCAACATGGTGAAACCTTGTCTCTACTAAAAATAGAAAAATTAGCCAGGCATGATGGCACGTGCCTGTAGTCCCAGCTACTCGGGAGAAGGCTGAGGTGGGAGAATAATTTGAACCAAGGAGGTGGAGGTTGCAATGAGCTGAGATTGTGCCACTGCACTCCAGTCTGGGCCACAGACTGGGAAAAAAAAAAAAAAAAAGAACCCCAAAACTATAAAGCAAACCATAAAATCTGGTATCAGGCAGTCCTAGGTTTGAGTCCCAGATGGGGGCTCACAAGCTGTATAACCCTGAGTAAGTTACTAAATGTCTTTTAAGATTCCTCTACCATAAAAAGGGGATAACAGTAGTACCTCTGCAAGGATTATTTTCTTAATGATAAGAAAAAATGCATTTTAAGTACTCAGAACCACACTTGTCACAGAGCAAGTGGGCAATCAGGGTCAGCTATTGTTAATGTTAACATCTCTACTGACTTATTTTGTAGCATGGCATATAAATAATCACTTTTCCAAGTATGAAAAATTTTTGTGTTCACCACTGTAAAAACCTCCTGTTTGGATATTGTGTTTTAACCAAATGTCAAAGACTCATGAATGAATGTTGGGACAGAAGAACATTTGATATGTCTACTGTACGTGTAGATTTTATAAACGTGCAACGAAAGCTTTTGTTTTACTTTTCAAAAATTCCATGGTCAAGAGTGATTTTTCTTGATGACTTTGATTTTATTTGCCAGGTGACTTTGAGTAAATCTATTTGACCATTTTAATTTCATTTGCTGTCTCTGCAAAATAAACAGGGCTGGTCTTCAACTCCTGACCTTGTGATCTGCCCTCTTCGGCCTCCCAAAATGCTGGGATTACAGGCATGAGCCACTGCACCTGGCCTAAGCCCACCTTTCATGTCCGGCTCCAGCTTACTCTCCCAACCCTCATTCCCATGATTTTGCTTTCACGCATTCTGTTATAACCAGACTGATCTTGGCTATTTTCTTAGATCCTGTGTGTTTACTGCATCCATGTTTTACTAATGCTGCTCTTCACCTGGAAGCACTTCTCTCCCTTTGTCTGAATTCTTTCTCTAATCTCACCACCAACATTTATATGTCCAAATCCTCCCATTCATCAAAGCTTAGTGTGCAAAGTAGAGGTAATCTTTCTCTTTGGGAGTGAATGTCTCCCTCAGTGGAGCTCCCAGGATACTTTTTGTATGTACCTCTCAGGTGGTACCTGGTAGACCAAGTGGCACAGAGGTTAGGCACATAGGACCTTCAGTCACACCACCTGGCTTCGAATCTCCAGGGTTATTTAGCTAGGCAATATTGGGAAAGTTAAAACAAACAAACAAAAACTCTCCATGCCTCAGTTTCCTCACCTGTAAAAATGGAGTTGATGGTAGTTCCTACCTCTTAAGGTTTCTGTTAGGTTTAAATGAGGCCATAAATATAAAGTATTTATTTATTTATTTTTGAGACAGAGTCTCGCTCTGTCACCCAGGCTGGAGTGCAATGGTACGATCTTGGCTCACTGCAACCTCTGCCTCCCGAGTTCAAATGACTCTTGTGCCTCAGCCTCCTGAGTAGCTGGGATTACAGGCGCATGCCAACATGTCCTGCTAATTTTTGTATTTTTAGTAGAGACAGGGTTTCACCATGTTGGCCAGGCTGGTCTCTCGAACTCTGACCTCAAGTGATCCACCCACCTTGACCTCCCAAAGTGCTAGGATTACAGGCGTAAGCCACCATGCCCAGCCCAATATAAAGCATTTAGAATAGTGCCTTGTCTATACTGACTGTTTAATAAATGCTAGCTGTCATTATTACTCCTCTCCTCTACCTCATTTTACAGATATAACATCTCTGGGCCAGGCACAGTGGCTCACACATGTAATCCCAGCACTTTGGGAGGCCGAGGCAGGAAGATTTCTTGAGTCCTAAAGTCTGAGACCAGCCTGGCCAACATGGGAAAATCCTACTTCTACACAAAATACAAAAATTAGCCAGGCATGGTAGCACATGCCTGTAGTCCCAGCTGCTTGGGAGGCTGAGGCGGGAGGATCTTTTGAGCCCAGAATGTGGAGGTTGTAGTGAGCCAAGATTGTACCATTGCACTCCAGCCTGGTGACAGAGTAAGACCCTGTCTCAAAAAGTAAAATAAAAATAAAAATAATAACATATCTGTCTTATGTTCCCTCTTAGACTGTACACTTTGAGGGTAGGAGGACATGTGCCTGTTCTTTTTCTTTCTTTTTTTTTTTTTTTGAGATGAAGTTTCGCTCCTGTTGCCCAGGCTGGAGTGCAATGGCACGATCTCAGCTCACTGCAACCTCCGCCTCCTGGGTTCAAGCAATTCTTCTGCCTCAGGCTACCAAGTAGCTAGGATTACAGGCATGAACCACCACATCCAGCTAATTTTTTGTGTGTGTTTAGTACAGATGGGGTTTTACCATGTTGGTCAGGCTGTTCTTGAACTCCTGACCTCAAGTGATCTACCCACCTCAGCCTCCCATCATGTTGGGATTACAGGTGTGAGCCACCATGCCCGGCCAAGCCTGCTTATTTTTTTGAAGCTCCTTTTATGCCTAGAATATAGTCAACACACAAAATTAATTATTTGACAGATTTTAGAAAACTTAAGGCCAACTCTTTTCCCCCTTTTCATATCCACAAGGTGCCTTTACATGAAATTAGTGATTCCATGAATTAAACAGACTTACTCTAATTGAATTTCAAATAGGACATTAGATTAAACAGTCTATAGACAGTTTCATATTAGTACATGTGGTAAGGACAGACATTTTTAAAGAATGTTACATGTGGTGTACAGTTATTTAACAGTAGAGCCTGGACTCTGGCCCATGGCTCCCGACTCCCAGCGCAGGGCCCATTCCACTGCTCCAAACTACCCAATTGTATTATCTTTGCTTCCCATGACCGTGGGTTAGTCTGGCTCCGGCTGGCCATGCACAACAGCCAAAGCCACCATGGAGCAGTTCACACTGCAGAGAGCAGCCTCACCCGTGATCCATGGACAAATTGGTGGACAAACATGTATTAGTGGAAAATATTATGTATTTGTTCAAAGTTCCATTGTAGTCAAGTTTTCAGGTCAAATTCAGATCTATTTCTGAGATATTTTCTACAGCTATGTCTTACATCTTTGCAGAGATACTTTTTTGGCCTATGTTCATGGATTTATGCCAAATAGCAGTTTACCCAACACTGTGATTCATTTGTTTGTTTTCTATACACTGTTGGGCTTTTCCTATATTTGGCTTCGACTGAGGACTCTCAGCATATGCTCTGTGTGGCTAGTCAGACTTTTTGGGGTGTGTATATATATATATATATTTTGGAGATGGGGGTCTCACTGGTTTGCCCAGGTTTGTCTCAAACTCCTAGACTCAAGCAATTCTCCTGCCTCAGCTTCTCAAGCGGCTGGGATTATAGGCATTTGCTAGTATGCCCAGTTTATTTTGGGATCTTAACATAAAAATAAAATAAAATTAGAACAAAGGCCAGGATTTTTCTAATAATAAATCAGGGACTGGTCTTTTTTTTTAAACTGAGTAATAACTTCAATTTAATTCTTCTCTTCAGTGAATTTCACAGCATTAAAGTTAAAGCATAATTCAGGTCAAGTAGAATATCAACTCCTGGTGTGTCATTAATAGTACCTAGTTCATGAATAAGAGCCACACAAAGTAGCACAGGTCCACAGAAATGGGCCTGGAGAAATTAGGCCAAACAGAGCTTAAATAAATTAAGGTATAAGATGCTGTCTTCTCCCTCCTCTCAAGCTGCATGTCTTTTCTTATAACTAACCTAAGACACAAGTAGGTACAAGCCTATGGCATAGAGGGGTGCCAGAAGTCTCAAAAGTAGATTCTCCAACCTTCTTCCTTTTTGAAAAAGAACTTTTCAGTTTGGGGTACACGTGCAGGTTTGTTATATGTAAACTTATGTCATGGGGGTTTGTTGTACAGATTGTCACCCAGGTATTAAACCTAGTACCCATTAGTTATTTTTCCTGATCCTTTCCCTCCTCCCACCCTCCACCCTCTAATAGGCCCCAGGGTGTGTTGTTTCCTATATGTATCCATGTGTTCTCATCATTTAGCTCCCACTTACAAGTGGGAACATGCCATATTTGGCTTTCTGTTCCTGCATTAGTTTGCTAAGGACAATGGCCTCCAGTTCCATCCATGTCACTGCAAAGGACATGATCTCACTCTTTTTCATGGCTGCATAGTATTCCATGGTATATATGTACCATATTTTCTTTATCCAATCTATCATTGATGAGCATGTAGGTTGATTCCACATCTTTGCTATTGTGAATAATGTTGTAATTAACATATGCATGCATGCGTCTTTATAAGAGGACAATTTATATTCCTTTGGGTATATAGCCAGTAATGGAATTGCTGGATCAAATGGTATTTCTGTCTTTAGGACTTGGAGGAATCGCCACACTGTCTTCCACAGTCGTTGAACTAATTTACACTCCTACTAACAATGTATAAGTGTTCCTTTTTCTCCACAATGCTGCCAATATCTGTTATTTTTTGACTTTTTAATAACAGCCATTCTGACTGATGTGAGATGGTATCTTATTGTGGTTTGATTTGCATTTCTCTAATGATCAGTGATGTTGAGCTTTTATTCATATGACTGTTGGCTGCATGTATGTCTTCTTTTGATAAGTGTCTGTTCATGTCCTTTGCCCACTTTTTTAATGGTTTTTTTTTTCTTCTTGTAAATTTGTTTAAGTTACTTATAGATGCTGGATATTAGACCTTTGTCAAATGCACAGTTTGCAATACTTTTCTCCCCTTCTATAAGTGGTCTGTTTGTTGATAGCTTCTTTTTCTGTGCAGTAGCTCTTTAGTTTAATTAGATCCCATTTGTCAATTTTTGCTTTTGTTGCAATTGCTTTTCGCATCTTTGTCATGAAATCTTTGCCCGTGTCTATGTCCTGAATGGTTATATCGCCTAGGTCCAACCTGCTTCTTATGTTTGGTGTTCCTATTTCTAGAGTAGTGTTCCATTGGCAGGAGTTTATTCCACAAACTTCTGTCCATTCCTTTACTAATTCCTTCATTCTTCAAATGTTTAGTAGTGCCACTATGTGCAGGAACTAGGAAGAGAAAAAGGAGTAGGACACAGAACTTTTTTTCTGGGGGGAAGACTGAAATAGGCAGATAGTTAAAATTCTGTCTTTGATGATTATCATGATAGGGCTGTACTATGGGGCTGCCAGTATAGGAGGTGACCCAGAGAAGGGGTCTCATAGAAAATCACAAGGAGAAAGGGTGCATAGGGGAAACATGGTCCTCACAGGGGACAAGCACATGAGCAAAGACAATGTTGAGTGTGGATATCTCTGACAGGGTGAATGTTTTAAGTTGGCTAGCGGTTATTAAGAAAGTAGAATGAACAATAGCCTGCCAGTTTCACAGAGTAAGCTGGGCAGAATTTGACCCACAAGCTAAGACTTGATAGGAAAGTGAGTAAGAACAGACAAAGACTGGAAACCTGGGCCACTGCCCAGCTGGGGCTAAAGTGGGCTCTCAGTTGCTGAAGGACCAACTTAAGGCACTGGAGCCAGAAATGGGGGAGTAAAAAGGCACTAAAAGAAGATGGTCAGAAAATGCCAAGCAGTTACCTATTTGGTAATTTGGAGAAAGTGGCACTGGTTTGCAGCCTTGTATGCCAAAGGGAAGCCATAAATTAAGATGTGAATTAATGTGGTTTATGTAATTAAAACAGGCAAAGCATGTGTTTGGCTTCAGGACTAGGAAGATTGCTGAGTTCCCAAATTATAATCACTCCCACCACTGCACTGTACCCCCAAAGAGCATATGCTCTTCCTCTTACTTAGAATACATCTGTGCCCTCTTGTTTGCCCTTCAAGGCTTGGCACAAGTATCCCCTCCTTTCCTCATGGCTCAGACTGTTGGGTATCCCTGCTCCGAGCTCCCATAGCAATTAGCACATCCTTCTCCTTGGATCAGCACTCATCGCATTGGATTGTCCGTGTCTATTTAGTTTTCTGTCTCCCTCCCCACTAGGCTGCGAGCTCTCTGAGGGCAGAAATTGCCTTTCATCTCTATATTCCCAGGACTTAACCAAAGACTAAGTACATAGTAGCTGCCAATACATGTCTGTGGGTAGACCAACAGATAGATAGACAGACGGATTGAATGGATGGATGGATGACCCACCCAAATCAGTAATAGTTTGCATTCTCCTTGGGAAGACAGACCTTAGAGGGTGAGTGTCAAGAAAAATGCTGAATATATTTTAAAGCTGTGACAAACCATGGATTAAAAAAACAGGCGCCTTAGTCAAATTCAAACTTACTTGCAATTTGTTGCTTTATGTTCCTGTTCACACAAGCACTGTAATTTTAGATCAGGGTTTGCTTACTAGGCAGGTTTCATAGATGTGGAAGGGGAGCAATCTAATCAAAAAGGCTCAAACTAGGAGCCAAGGGGTCTAGCTTCTCTTCCTGATCTACCCCGCTTCAACTTCCCGATTATGTAACCTAGATGAGCTTCTTATCTCCATAGGTTTCCACTCTCTGGCCTCCTGTCTTTCCCCTTTACACCCATCCTCCACCTAGTTATTTTTCTTGAAAATAAATTAATCATCTTGGTTATTTGCTTTAAAATCTCCTTGCTGCCTCCAGAGAAAAGTCCATCTTCTTTGCAATCAAGCAAGGTCATCCTTTGAGACTGGTCATCCTTTGTCAAGTTCCTTATATCCATTACTCCATGGCCCCATTCCTCTAACCAAGCTCTTTCATGCCTCTGTGTTTTTTCTACACATGGGCTCTGATATCAGAACAACTTTTGGCCCGGTGCAGTAGTTCACACCTGTAATCCCAGCACTTTGGGAGGCTGAGGCAGGCAGATCACTTGAGGTCAGGAGTTTGAGACCAGCCTGGCCAACATGGTGAAACCCCATCTCTATTAAAAATGCAAAAATTGTCCAGGCATGGTGGTGGGCACTTGGAGTCCCAACTACTTGGGAGGCTGAAGCAGGAGAATCGCTTGAGCCCAGGAGGTGGAGGTTGCAATGAGCTGAGATTGCGCCAATGCACTCCAGCCTAGGTGACAGAGCGAGATTCCGTCTAAAAAAAAAACAACAACAATAACAACAACTTTCTACACTCATTCCACCTGGTGAGCTCCTCTTTGTTCATCTTTTAAGACCCAGCCAGTGAAGCCCTAGAAGTTGCTTTCTCAACAAGGCCTCTTCTAACTCCTTCAGTGAGTGTGAGCACCTCCTCCACTCTGCTCCCAAAGCATTTTCTCTTGTTTATGTCAGATCCCTTATAACCCTGATAGAAATTTGCTTACTCATCCATCTATCTCAGTTGCAAAACTCTGAGTTCCTCTAGGCCAGGGGCCATTATTAGTTGCCAGCACTCAGAACGTTCTACAATATATGCTGGTTGAAAAAAATCAACTGAGTTATACTGAATTTTACATGAACTGTCTCCCTAACTGTGACTGTTATTCACTTCTCTATATATAAAATCTAATACTGAGATTGGGCTTTGTGAGCCTTGATCAGATAGTAGGCATTATTCTGTCCCCTTTATATTTGGTAACAACACTTAATTCTTATCTCAGCCCTGCAAAGCCTACATTACCATTACCATTACTATTACTGCTATTTACTGGCCAGGCACAGTGGCTCATGCCTGTAATCTCAGCAGTTTGCGAGGCCACAGTGAGAGGATCGCTTGACCCCAGGAGTTCGAGATCAGCCTGGGCAACACAGTGAAATCGAGTCTCTACAAAAAAAATGTTTAATTAGCCTGACACGGTGATATACCCCTGTAGCCCCAGCTGCTCAGGAGGCTGATGAGGGAGGATTGCTTGAGCCAGGGAGGTGGAGGTTCCAGTGAGCTGTGATCATGCCACTGCACTCCAGCCTGGGTAACAGAGCAAGACCCTATCTCAAAACTAATTAATTAATTAAATACTACTGTTGCCATTACTTTAAAGATAAAGAAACTGAGGTCTAAAGAAGCTAAGTATCTTTCCCAAGTTATACTTAGTAGGTGGAAAAGCTAATATTTAAATTGAAGCCCCTTTCTTTCAAACTTCAAAACCCACGACCTTTCCACAATACCCCTCCTTCCCCAGAGGCCTGCACCTAGTAGGTTCTCGTTTGGTTGTTTAATTGCTCTGAACTGCTTTGACTAGGACTATGAGAGTCAGGCTCACCCCAACTTGCAGCTGAGGCTTGGCCATTGCATGACTCATCCATGAAAGCCCAGACAGCCGTATCTGAACGCTGGCGCACATGGAGATGAGACGCAGATCCTCTTTCTGGCAGGAAGTTTTGTCTTCTAGCACATGGAACCAGCACTCTATTTCCTGGGATCAGATGGAGCTCTCAGCAAAGAGGACCTCTCACAGTTCATGGGTTTGTCCTGATATCTAGCCCAGAAAATGCTTCCTGGCTCCCTGGAGAATGAGAAATTATTGGCTTCTGTGATGTTTTTCTAATCATTGAGCCCTCAAGGTGAAAGGTCTCCCGGATGGAAGTGAACATACCAAGTTTACCCAACCCAGCATGGCCTCAGGCAACCCCCAGCCGCTCTCCACTAGGGCCCACATAACAGCTGGGGCTTCTTCTTGATAGATGTTCCTCAGCTCCTTGGCATACTTTCCCCCCAAGTGTAGAAGTCTTCCAGGCCCCTGTGCCACTGACATAAAGCAGAAATCCCACCGCAGAGCTCCCTTCAGGCTGGAAACTGTGCACAGAGCCCTCAGAAGTTTCCTCTTATTCTATTTTCCATGGTTGCTGCTAACACTTCAGTTTATGTGGAGAACAGAGGCTCACAAAAGGATGTATGCTCTTGTCCTGAAAAATGTCCCATAGGCATATAGGAGAGAGCCCAGAGAAGTGTATTTACATGCTTGTGAATACTTATTATGTACCGTCTTACATACACCTTTTTTCTTGTTTAATCATCATGGCAATTATTTTCCTCTTTTAAAGATGTGTAAACTGAAACTGACTCTAAGCACAACAGCACTTTTTGTTTTTCATTAATAAAAGAGATACTGTGAACCTTTGACCTTAGGCCGGAGAAACAGTGCCTGGAGCTCAGCACAGGAGAAGGTAGGACATAGCCCCAGGTAGAATCCTTACATAAGACAGAGTCTGTTCATTGTCTGAGACTCCATGATATTTTGCAAGTGTTTTCCCATTGGAATCAGGAATTAGATCTGGAGCCCAAATCCAGCTGTCCAGTAATGTGAAAAGAAGAAGCAGTTTGGGTTTTACCAAAAGATACTTAGACTAGAAGTTTGAATACATTTGCTTGAATTCTAGCTCTGTTATTTAACAGATGCGAAACCATACTTTGGTTTTCTCATCTGTGAAGGGGGAATAAAAGTTACCAATCCATTTTAGGGTTTTTGTGAACATTAAACAAGATATTGAACATATGTGTGGAGGCCTGTAGAGGCCTGGCCTAGTCAAAAGTGAATAATTTTCTTCTCCATTGCCCTTTCTTTAGAGCTCCATCCATGATTGGACTGCACCTCATTCCTCAGATTAGTTTTTCTCCCACCCCTACCTTCACCAAGCTAAATGAAGAACAGTTTGGTATACAGGAAGGGGCATAGACTAGAAATTTAGTGACTTAAGTTTGAGTTCTGATTTTATGAATTACTGGCTGTGAGATATTCAAGTGAGTTGACAAGCCTCAATTTCCTCATCTGTTAAATGGAAATAGGATCTCAGTACTTACTTCTAGGGTTGCCTGAAGACTACGAAAGAGTATGAATACACTAATGCTTTGTCAGTTCTAACGTTCTATACAAATGCAAGTATTTGACCAAATATTTTTGACCACCTGGTATGGGTCAGGCATGTGCCATGATGAGGGTACAAAGACAATAAGACATGATCTCCTTTGAGCTTGCAGTCTGATGAGGAGACAGATAAGTACATGGGTAAATACAACACAGTGTGTATGTGCCATATCAGGGGAGGGGCAGAATGCCTGAAGCACAAAGGGAGGGCACAGTGTGAGTTATCTATTGCTGCAAAACAAATTATCCCAAAACTTTGCAGCTTAAAACAACAAACATTTATTATCTCATATCATTTCTGAGAGTCAGGAATCTGGCAATGACTCAGTTGGATAGTTCTGGCTCAGGCCTTTCATGGAACTTTCATGGAATCAAGCTGTTGGCTGCAATCTCTCTCTCTCTCTCTTTTTTTTTTTTTTTTTTTTTAAGAGATGGGGTCTTCCTCTCACTTTGTTGCCCAGACTGGTCTTGAACTCCTGGGCTCAACTATCCACCCACCTCGGCCTCAGCCTCCCAAAGTGCTGGGATTACAGGCGTGAGTCACCGCACCTGGCCTTCTGCAATCTTTAGAGACTTGACTATTGACTAGAGATGACAAATCTACTTCCTAGCTCACTGACATGTCTGTTGGCAGGAGGCTACAGTTCCTTGTCATGTGACCTTCTCTGTAGGTCTGCTCAAGACGGCTTTTCCCCAGGGATACGCAAAAGAGAGAGCACATCTAAGAAAGCCCTCAAGAGGAAGCTGCAGTGTCTTTTACAACCTAATCTCATAAGCAGTATATGAGATCTGCCATTTTCACTTCTGCCATTGTGTGTTGGTCACAGAGATCAATCCTGGTACAAAGTAGGAGGGGACTACACAAGGGTGTGAAAACCAGGAGGTGGGGCTCACTGGGAGCCACCTGGAATGCTTGCTATAGAAGGTACCCAACACACTGGGAGAGAAGAGGAGCCAGGAAAAGTTTTTTGAAGCTTAAGTCCAGGTGCATTTTTACTGCTTCTCACAGTCTCTGCTGGATATTGGGCTAGTAAGAGGGAACTTTTTTTTTTCTATTTACATTATTCTGCTATTAAACAAAAATGACATTGCAAATAATACAGAGCAGACTTAGAGCTGTCCAGAAGTGGTAATGACTTTGCCAGTGGGTTTCCAGAGCAGCTGCATCCTGGTGAGGTCAGACCCCACTGGCCTCTTGTATGGCCTTTCAAGTCCATAGCCCACTCAGAGATGACCACCAATAACCACTACTTGCCCCTATTCATAATGCACCTCACACTGTACTGCAATAATGTGCTTATGTGTCTGATATCCCTCTAGACTGCCCTGAGTAGGCAAGGAACATGTCTCTGGCACATGGCTGTGTCTACCATCCAGGATGATGGTACTGTGCCTAACAGTTGGATGGCACTGTGCCTAACAGTTGGATGAAAAAAATTAATGGAATTTAAATAAATCAGAGGACACTGAAAACAGGCTCAATACAGGTAAATAATTATGTTTATGGAATTAGGCTAGGTGATTCCTGAGTCTCAGGCCCTATGATATATGCTTTGCATATTTTATTTCATTTACTACTCATAATAAGCCTACGATAGGTATAATTATCCCCATTTAACAGATGAGGAAACTAAGGTCATAGAACTAGAAAATGGCAGAGCCTAGATTTGACCCCAGGCCTATCAGATTCCAAAGCCTGTGCAACTAATCATATCACATCTGGTGCTAGATCTTCTCAAACACACAATTGCAGATCTGAGGGACTTTTGGTGACTAAAAAAACAGATACAAAAATTAAACAGCCTTAAGGAACAAATTGACGAACACCTAAGAACCAGGTATTTTCCCTACATACACATGCCTGTGTGCAAGTGTACACACACACACACACCCCTTATTTTTCCAGGAAAGCCTAGTTTAAGTCCCACCTCTTCCAGGAAGCCTTCTTTGACTCACAGTGATGTTTGTCTCCCTCAAACTCCTGCTGCACTTGCAATGGTGCCATTCAGCTGGTATTTACCCTAGGGAGTCTTGATTTGCAGTTTATCCTATTTGTAACTCAGGTTCATGGGTTTCTTCTAGGAGTCTTGATTTGCAGTTTATCCCGTTTGTAACTCAGGTTCATGGGTTTCTTCTCCATACACTGAGAAAGCTGGACTACTTCCCAAAGGACCTTTCTGTCTTGCACATTGTAGGAGGTACTTCCTGACTCCCCACCAGCACATCACCTCCTTGCAGGAAGGGCCATGTTTTTGCATGTGGCAGGCCCTCACTGACAGCAGCGCTTTTACCTGATTAGGTTGGAAGAGCCCACTCTCTATTGTCTCCTGACTAGATAGAAAATTCCTAGAGACCCATTATCACATCCTAGCATCTAGCAGAGGGCGTGGAGTGTAGGAGGTTCTCCATAAGGAAATCCTGGATAAATACATGAGTGAGTGAATAAATGAAATGGTGGCAATGATTTTAACTTTAATGAAAACCTCTAGTATCCTTGGCATTACTACATTAATAGGAATAATGTCTTCTACTTGTTTTGTGCTTTGTCTTTCTCCAGGAAACATCTCCCTCAGGCCCTTTTCCTCCCCCCAGGGATTTTGCCTGCAGAACTAGGACAGAATACTTGAAATCAGAGTAGGCAGAGCTAGAGACACATGAACAAACTTTGACTTGGCTTGTCTCAAACTGCATGCCAACCCATCACCCTTCTGTTTGGACTTATTACCACATTACCTTCCTTTATTGCAAGATGTTTTCATAACATGAAGCAATAACCCAGCCTACAGCTTTATTTGCACAGGTTATACCTGTGATCAGCTTCCTCTCAGATGCCATCCCCCATCTCCCACAGTAGGGGAGGAGGTTACTCCTTCATCTTAGCAGTGGCATTTCTCCCCTGGATCCCACTGTCAAATGGGAGATTTCTAGGAAGCCTCCTTCAACAGCTGCTCCTACACAGGATCAGAGGCCTCCTCTTAATCTCCCTCATTGTCTCTGCTAGGACCTTCCCCTGTTTTACCTATTTTTCTATTTTCTGCCTTACTGTCAGGAAGGCATATAGTACAGTAGTAAAGAGCATGGGTTTTGCAATTAGAGCTGGATTTTCATCCTGGATCTGCCTCTTATTAGCTATTCAGCTTGGGCAAGTTACCAAACTTCTTTGAGCTTCAATTTTCTTATTTGTAAACCAGGAATAATAATATTACCTGCTTCATAGGGTTATTGTGAGGATTAATACTGCAAGGGGTTCAGAACAGAGCCTGCAAATAATACACACTTCAGTAAATGTTATCTATCACAACTATTACATGGTGTGTTGACTGCTCACGCTGAGGATGACATGGGTAGCAAGAGGCTGGGGTGAGTTTTCATCATCATCAACATTTTGATGGAAAAAGAGAGAAATTCAGATTTACCAGCAAGGCACGGTGGCTCAGGCCTGTAATCCCAGCACTTTGGGAGGCTAAGGCAGGCAGATCACCTGAGGTCAGGAGTTCAAGACCAGCCTGGCCAACGTGGCAAAACCCCGTCTCTACCAAAACCAAAAATTAGCTGGGAATGGTGGTGCATGCCTATAGTCCCAGCTACTTGGGAGGATGAGGCACGAGAATCATTTGAACCCAGTAGGCGGAGATTGCAGT